TTGATCTCTAATCCTAGTTATAATTGGTAATTTATGAACAATTTAAGCAAAATGAAGTTATTTCCTTTACGAGCTTCCCAAGTTTGAAGAGTTGAGGTTGTAACCTTAAATAAAAACTTTGAATATTCCAATCTTTTTCTTTTGCTTAACTTGGAAGCATCTTTCCACAGCTATATTAGGAACGTTGGGTTGACCATTTAGCCTCATGGGTGTGACCCCTAGTAATTTCCTTGAAACAGTGTTGAAGGATTTAGAGCATTAAAAATAAAAAATAAAAAAACCTGTAGCTTTTTGATTGTTAGTAGACGGCTCTACAGAGTTTTCTTCACTTGTCAGATTAAGAAAAAATACTGTGTGTAAAATCCAGAGGGAAAACTTTCAGAAAAAGTGTAAACTTCTAGCCAGGTCTTAAAGATTCAATTTTGTAGTTTTCAGGGTACAAATGCATCGGCCAGAGAATAGATATTTAAGTTGAATTTTTTAATAACTCCTGATTTGGACACTTCAGTAACTCGGGAAAAAGTAGCTTTATTAGCAGTATGACAGATTGTGTATAAATATAATTTTTCTGTGTTTTTGAGGACTTTGAATACCTTATTGCTTCATATTATGGTAGATACATATTTCATATCAACAAGGTAAGATAACCTGTTAAGCCGAAACAGAGAAGCTGTGCTGTTTCTAAAAGTTAACAGTTTGAGTACATCTGGATGTAAAGAAAAATATTCCCAAGTTACAGTAATTGTCAGCAAAGTGGCTGTTGTACCTAATTAGTTGTACTTAAGCACAGATTACTGTGGTTTTTATTAAGCAGTGTATAATGTGTCGTATTTGCTAATTTCAAGATCTACAGGTAGTGGTAACTTTAGTCACAAATCAGTGTGTAATTAGTGATCTGAAGAACATCACATTTCTAGTCCAGCCTTTTCTAGCAATATGGTTCCTACTGGATTTCAAAGATTATGCTCTGGCAAATTGTAAAAGTGTCTACTTAAATAATCCCAATATAAATTAAACCCTAGTATTTTCTCAAAATATGGCTATACTGCATAGCCACTTGCCTTAGGTGTTAGGGGGTAGTTGAGTTAAGGTTAAGTTCTGTCGTTTACTGGAGTAAAGATTTTAAAATCTTTTTAAACATTGGAAACCATTTTTGTGAAGTACTTTTCAGTAAGCTTAGTGTGTTCATAATGCTCACTTCCTTGCAAACTAGAAGCATTTAGATGATAGTGTTGGATTATAATATCCTCCTTTTCCCCTTCAGTTCTTTGTCAAGAAAGACAATTGACTCTCAGCAGTGCCATCAGTTTACTGCTGCCTTATGTGTGCAGGAGTGTGGAGAGCTGGAGGCTTCTGGGAAGGCTTATGTTTGTGCACACACCCCATTCAATTGGAATGGTGATTTGCTGTTAGTAGATTAGAATTTCTATTTTGCTGTATTCCGTTATTAACGTCTTTATTGTTACAACCACTTTGATTACTGATTAGCAAATTGGTTTTAATCGATGTAAACCTGGTTTAAAATTAGTCATTATTTTAGAGTTTAAGGAAGTGTTCTGTCCAGTATGTTACAGTTTCTAAGTCCAAGAGCTGAAGGCATTTGCTGTCAGAGATAGCCCTAGGATGCCCAGCATTTTTGTTTTGGAGGGTCATAAGTGGAGTGAGTATAAATTCAAATTGTGCAGTTTTTTTTTTTTTGCTTGTGCTGATCAACGTTATGGTGTGTTTAATGCAATTTTTTTTATTACACTCTTGAAATTGCACTCTTGAAGTTGCAGAATGGCAATTAGATGGCAGCCACTGATAGCCATGTAGAAGTTTCGATGAATATGCAAGTTAATTTTAATTTCTGATCAGTTACGGTTAGTGACTGTGGCCAAACGTGTGTACTGATTCTACACGTATGCTAATTCCATGACGTTTATTCACCAGCTGTGTGTTGAGTGGCTGACCCTGTGTCCAGCACCTTGTTCCAGGCATTGGGGGCAGCAGTGGACAAGGCAACAGAGTCTTGGTCCTGAGGTGTTACTTTTCGAAAAAGACAGTTACAAGCAAACATGATGGTTTTAGATCTGGACAGAAGTTCAGAGGGAGTCATCCCTGAGCCGTCACAATGCTTTGGGGGTAGGGTGTGCTGGGCAGTCAGGGATGGCACCTTTGGGGTGCCTAAGGATTCCTGTGACCCTGGGAGCTTAGGACAGTTAGGCCCAATTGATTGTCAGAGTCTGTCTCAGAAGCTTCCCTGGAGAAAGAATTGCTGCTGTTTTGCCAGGAGGGTTTCCTTCCCCATCTGACCACACAGGAAGACCCCTTGGCCTAGAATGCCTGCCCTCATCTCCAGGTCTCCCAGGCTGTTCACCCTCCCAGGCAAAGTGGAAGCTTCCTCTCTTCTTAGATCGTTTCCCACTGAACCTCCTTCATTGTCCTTCACTGCAGTGAAATAATCCTACAAGGTCTTGGGTGGAGAGTGATGGTAACTTCAGATAATTGAGAATTGGAACCAAAACATTCTTCTATTAGTAAATGTTTTCAGTAAGTTATGCCGTTTCCCTGAGTGGGAAATAATAAAGTTACACTCCATCGTGTTTCGTTTCTTTTCTTTTTTTTTTTTTTTTTGTTTTTGGGGAGACAAAGTCTTGCTCTGTTGTCCAGGCTGGAATGCAGTGGTGCGATCTTGGCTCACTGTAACCTCCACCTCCTGGGTTCAAGTGATTCCCAAGTAGCTGGGATTACAGGTGTGTATCACCATGCCCAGCTAATTTTTGTATTTTTAGCAGATAAGGGGTTTCACCATGTTGGCCAGGCTGGTCTCCAACTCCTGGCCTGAAGTGATCCACCCACCTCAGCCTCCCAAAGCATTGGGATTACAGGCGTGAGCCATTGTGCCCGGCCTCACATCTTTCTTCTAATCCCGAGACTGAGTGTAGAGCTGGTGTCTGTTTTTGGAAAGGATGTCAGTAGAGAAGTGGAGTTCCCCAAAATTACAGTTTCACATATTAGTCAAGTTTCTAAAATACAGTAATAATGTTGAGAGCTGACATAGGGACTAACTTAGATTTTTTTTCCCCCAAATTCTCACCTAACTTTGATTTTGCTAAATAAGGACATTAAAAAAAAAAAAAAAAAAAATTCCACTATTGCCTATTGCCACCATTTGATTTTTTGAAAAATAAGCGTATTTTAGCATCTAAAAGTAGGAATGACCTCAAATAAATGAGTCTTTGTTCTTGGCCAGGGAAAACGTTGTCAGAGTTTGATAACTGTTTTTCTAGGGTATGTGCTGTTATTCAGTTAAAATATTGCCTGGGATGCTGGCATTCACTAAATACTTGTTGAATAAGCAAATGAAACTTAAACTTCTATGTATAGAAACCTAAGTTGTCAGATTCATGTCCAAATATCACTTCACATTCTGATTAGCAGAGTAATTGAATATTCTTTTCAGTGTGTAGATCTATCCCCAGAATCACAGAATATTGGAACTGTAAAGGCCATCCTATAGTTTAACCAACTGCATTAAATACATAATAGAAGGAGGTGGTATGTGGCAGTGACAGCTTGAAGGTTGTGACTAGAACTCGGGTCTCTGGTGTGTTCTATTATATCACACCAAGCTGGTCACCAGCCCATGTGTTGATCCTCCATTGTGATTGCAACAAAGAAAAGACTTCAAGACATTCTTTCTTTTACCCTAATCCTTGATCTGCAGTCTTATTTAGAAAAGCTTAATGTTAAAGATCTAGTTTATTCAAAACTAAAGATAACAAGGAGTATGAGAATTTATTTCGGAGTGTAAAGGAGATGTTTCCTTGCCTTCTCTGAGCCTACAGGCCCTCCTTACTCTTTAAGGAAGTAGAGAGAGGGAGGAAAATAAAGTATGTTTTTGTTTTTTATGGTTACTTTGCTGGGAGTAGTTTGCATCCCTTTTGATTTTCTTGGGTGGAATTAACTGAAGTTTTAAGTAGTTGGGACTATTTAAAAACAATGCCTATCCAATGTTTGCCGTAAAGGCCGAGGGTATTGGCTTTAGAAGTTAATTCTTCTCCAGGAGTGAAAACTTAGCTTCTAAACCAGAAGCAGCAGAGCTAAATAAAGTAATTTTCCACCTGGCCAGTGCATGATGTGAAAGGTAGATTAAAAAACGAGAGGACCCATTTTCTGATGAAAGACTAAGCCCTGTTGAAACAGCCCTGTTTGAGGATTTTATTTTAAATCTATACATTCACAAAGGAGCTTTGTGTATGTCTTTCCCTATTTGTTGTTTGGACTAGGAAGCCCCACCCAGTGCTTGTTGAAGGCAGAAAGTTGTTGAAAGCAAGCCGGGATTTGAACAGTGGATTGAGGTTTGGAATATACAGTGAACCAAAATGTATCAGGGTTCCCCTGCCCAAGATGAGTGACCGTTCTGAGGTGTTTCATATTTCTTGAATGGGGATTTTAGGAAAAGTTTCTGTATTTCTGTGCTCATTTTGTTGATCTCTGTATGTGCAATCTCTGAGGGTGTGTTTGGGCACTTAGATTTCTTGGATGCAGATTTGCTTGTATACAAAACATTTTAAATTGTTTTATATACACTGGATTTAAAATTTTTTAGTTTACTAAATTTTTTCATCTTAATTTTCACAGTTCTTACAGTCTTTAGATTTAGGAAGGCTGTTGATGGCATCCACATGTGCATCTTAGTGACATTTAAAATGTGTTCAGCTGAATTTAACCATTTCTGACCTAAAACTTGACATTTTAGATTTAAGTCAGTAAAGCACTGATTTAAACTGGATTTTAACTGGATGGAATTCTGATTTAATAAGTGTACTGACTGGATAAAATGCCAGTGATTTAATTAACAAGCATGTTTAACAGGATGCTGTATATATTAGTTAAAAGTGAGGCAATTGAATTAGGTATCTTCTCTGCTGCACGGAAAAGACCGTCTGACTCACCCACACCAGCCTTCTCTCTGCTCTGAGTGTAGCTAACCGTTTCTGTTTTTTTTCCTCTAGGGTTTGGAAATCCCTTGTCTCCAGGTTGCTGGGATTGACTTCTTGCTCAATTGAAACACTCATTCAATGGAGACAAAGAGAACTCATGCTTTGTGCTGATTCATATTTGAATCAAAGCATTGGGGAGTCTGTATGCCTTGTTTGTGGAAAGAACCAGTGACACCACCACTGAGCTTCCTAAAAGTTCCGAAGAAGTTAGAGGACTAGACACTTTCTTTTGAACTTTTATAATAAATATTTGTTCTGGTTTTTGAAGCCCGGGGCTGTTAGAGGGGTGAGTGACAAGTCTTACAAGTGGCCTTATTCCAACTCCAGAAATTCCCCAAGGGAACTTTGAGATTATATGCAATCGAAAGTGACAGGAAACATGCCAACTCAATCCCTCTTGATGTACATGGATGGGCCAGAAGTGATTGGCAGCTCTCTTGGCAGTCAGATGGAGATGGAGGACGCCATGTCAATGAAAGGGACCGCTGTTGTTCCATTCCGAGCTACGCAAGAGAAAAATGTCATCCAAATAGAGGGGTATATGCCCTTGGATTGCATGTTCTGCAGCCAGACCTTCACACATTCGGAAGACCTTAATAAACACGTCTTAATGCAACACCGGCCTACCCTTTGTGAACCAGCAGTTCTGCGGGTTGAAGCAGAGTATCTTAGTCCGCTTGATAAAAGTCAAGTACGAACAGAACCTTCCAAGGAAAAGAATTGCAAGGAAAATGAAGAATTTAGCTGTGAGGTATGCGGGCAGACATTTAGAGTGGCTTTTGATGTTGAGATCCACATGAGGACACACAAAGATTCTTTCACTTACGGGTGTAACATGTGCGGAAGAAGATTCAAGGAGCCTTGGTTTCTTAAAAATCACATGCGGACACATAATGGCAAATCAGGGGCCAGGAGCAAACTGCAGCAAGGCTTGGACTGTCCCGCGACGATCAACGAGGTCGTCCAGGTGCACGCGGCTGAGCGCATCCCCTCTCCTTACAAAATCTGCATGGTTTGTGGCTTCCTATTTACAAATAAAGAAAATCTAATTGAGCACAGCAAGGTGCACACCAAAAAAACTGCTCCCGGTACCAGCAGCACGCAGACAGACTCTCCACAAGAAGGAATGCCGTCCTCCAGGGAAGACTTCCTGCGGTTGTTCAGCTTGAGACCAAAATCTCACACTGACACGGGGAAGAAGCTTGTCAAATGCATACCTCAGCTCGATCCGTTCACCACCTTCCAGGCTTGGCAGCTGGCTACCAAAGGAAAAGTTGCCATTTGCCAAGAAGAAGTGAAGGAATCGGGACAAGAAGGGAGCACCGACAACGATGATTCGAGTTCCGAGAAGGAGCTTGGAGAAAATAAGGGCAGTTGTACAGGCCTCTCGCAAGAGAAAGAGAAGTGCAGACACTCCAACGGTGACGCGCCCTCCGTGGAGGCGGATCCCAAGTTACCCACCAGCAGCAAGGAGAAGCCCACGCACTGCTCCGAGTGCGGCAAAGCTTTCAGAACCTACCACCAGCTGGTCTTGCACTCGAGGGTCCACAAGAAGGACCGGAGGGCTGGCGCGGAGTCGCCCACCATGTCTGTGGACGGGAGGCAGCCGGGGACGTGCTCCCCTGACCTCGCCACCCCTCTGGATGAAAATGGAGCCGTGGATCGAGGGGAAGGTGGTTCTGAAGACGGATCTGAGGATGGGCTTCCCGAAGGAATCCATCTGGGTAAGCTGCCCTGTCTCCCTCCCGTGCTGTTCCGCCTGTGTCTGTCTGTCTGTCTGTCTGTCTCCCCGTCTCTTCCCATCTCTAGACAACGCTGGCCAGGAATGGAGTTTGGAGAGCCAGAGTCAAATCCAGGCTCTTTTTGGTATCACTCTGTGTAAGCCATTTAACTTCTCGGGGCCTTAATTTTCTCATTTCTGTAATAACAGGGTTGAGTTAAAAGGTCTCCTTGTTCTGAAAATCTTGTGTGTTTTTTTTTTTTAAACGTTGAACGTTTTGCTCACAAAACGTGGTGTTTTTTTTTTTTTTAAATAACTTGTGCATCCAGTCCAAATGCACTGCTTCTTAACTGGGATGATTTTGCTCCCAGTCAGTATCTGGCAATGTCTGGAGGCATTTTGGTTGTTATACTGTGTGTGGGGGTGTGTGCATGCACGTGTGCTTGTGTGCCTACTGGCATCCAGTGGGCAGAGGCCAGGGACACTGCTCAGTATGGTACAATGCACAGAACAGCCCCATCATCAAAGAATTATCTGGTCCCAAGTATCAATAGTTTCATCATTGAGAGACCCTAGCCTTCACCTAAGGTTTTCTGGTGTTCCTGATCTTATCTGTAGTGAATTTCCAGTGGTCATAAAAGGTACTGAGAGTGATGATCAACTAGAGCCAGGAGTATTACTTGGGCAGCCATTTGGTGCTGTCCGAAACCCTATCCATTCTGTCTGGCAAGCTGGTATCCATTAATAGGTACTTCAAGAACCCAAATGATTTGTCATAAAGTACAAGGAATGTGGGCACACCAAGACATTTTTAAGAAAGCTCATTTGCTCAGCAAAATTTTCAGTGTGCTAACGGCATTTATAGAAACAGAAGGCGATCACTGAAGGCATGCTCACATAATATTCCTGAACCTTGGTGGGCGTTATCTAGGGCAGAGGATTCCACCTGTGTTTGGAGTTGTGCCCATCCTCATTGTAGCCAGAGCTTCTATCAGAGTTTAATATTTTGTTTGAATAGAGGATCCTGCTGCTTAAAACAGTTGGAAAAGACCCCTGATGGGCAGGCCATAATTGACAAGTGAATGATGAGAACATGAATTGGTCTTGGGGAAGCCTTTATTAAAGTGGTCCTCGGTTCAAACAAGTGCCTCTTCCTCTCAGTGTAACTTGGCTGTGTGTGTGAATTCTTTGGAGAACTGTATATATGAGACCCACGGTGAATTTGCCCACACAGTTGATCAGACTCGTCCTTCACCTGCTCTTCAGGCAGTGCCAGTTCCTTTTCTGATCATGTGATTGACATGAGAACTGTAGTCTGTATATCACATCTTTAGAATGTTTTTGAGTTTCCTGGGACACAGGAAACCTAGCACTTAGCATACTACAAATCTGATGTCTTACTGGCATCATAAAAAGAGGCTTTAAACACAGACTCCAGTTAGCGAAGTGGTTTCTGCTAGTGCCGGTACTGTTGTAGGGGCCTTGTGAGATGCCCCAGTGCCCTGAAAGAAATGAAAAGACCGGTTACTGGTAGGTGGTGTGGAAAACATGGGCTAGATCATCAGGCAGGACCGAATGCCTGGCTGTGGGTGGAAGCACCACAGCTTGGCACTGAGTTCCCGTTCTACCACTGCATTGTTTTGTGACCAATTATGAGTTGCTTAACCTTTCTTTGCCACTGTTTCCCTGTTTGCAAAATGGTTCATTGACCCTTGCCTTCCACCTCCCAAGGACAATTTGAACAGCCTATTTGTAAAAAGATCACAGTCCTTTAAAAAATATAACTGTAAAGTCAGAGGTGATGCTTGAAAGAGCAGGAATCAGGTAGATGTGGAAATGTCATGTCCTTTGTTCTAAAGAAAAGGCATTTCATAGCTTTTTGGATATGACGCAACATACCATAAATCCTGACACATAGTTGGGAGTCGGAAATTGCAACAACACCCAGTTATAAACCCAGCTAGTTTGGGTATGATTGTAAGAAAAAAAAGCTGGCCATTCTGTTTTTGGGGAATTGATTTTCCTAAACTTATATTATCTTAGTAGTCTAGATTTATCATATTGTACTATCACCCTGGCTTTTTTAAGATTTAAGAAGATCAGGTAAATTTTTTTTAAGTCTTTCTTTAGACTATAGATCAAGGGTGTGTCTGTCTTACAGGTGGATAGTCGTATGATCTACAGTAAGGGGACATTTATTTCAAAGTTAAACATTCATGTGTGTTGGGGGTGGTATTTTAACGGCGGCACCTCTCAGTCTTTTGGAGGGCTGGTGTGTGTCTGAAGTTCTGTCCTCCTTCGAGTGGACTTGACTGATTGCACGTGAGACACATTGTCCTATTGTCCTGCAGAGACTGAAGCCAAACACTGTGTCATTTAGGGACAGGTTTTCATTCGTCAGATCTGTTTCGCCCACATGAGTGTTTGTGGACAATACAGCCTGCTTTCCAAAACTTTGCTAAATTTTGACAAACTTTCCTAGGTGCTTGCCCGATGCCAAACTTTCTTTTCTGTTGAAGATTAAGTTGTGCTTGCTGCCCTCTAGTGGTCACTTGTTTAATCTTACCCTTAAACGGCTTATTTTTCCCATGGTGGTTGGTGGTTTGTAATTGGCTCATTTTTCTAAATGATTCTGAAGAAGATCATTTTTCCCGCCAGTATGTGTGTCCACCTTCAGTTTGCCAGATCCTACCTGCTCACAGAGATACTGAGAACCGGAAGCTGTCCGGGCAGTTCGGTCTATTAAATGATCTTTTTTGTGATTAAGGCAAACAAAGAACTGAATCTTTAATAGTGTACTCTGCTGTACCCAGAAAAAAAAAAACAAAACCACGTTACAACACTCTGAAACTTCAGACAACCTCAAAACAGCACTTGGTGTGTGTCTAGCCTTTTCTAACCCGATATTATATTAAAGAATTTTTTCATGCTTTCCAAAAATGTTTGTCAAGAACATTTAAGTCAGCATGCCTTATTCCCGTACTTCAGCTACCTTTTTATATAAATGTTTCTGTTTTTCCTTTAAGATAAAAATGATGATGGAGGAAAAATAAAGCATCTTACATCTTCAAGAGAGTGTAGTTATTGTGGAAAGTTTTTCCGTTCAAATTATTACCTCAATATTCATCTCAGAACGCATACAGGTAAAGAACTTTTATATTTTTAACCATGCTTTAGTTAAAAATTATGTAGTTATCTCTCTGATTTTTTGGTGGTGGTGTTCAGATACTCTGCCAGATCCTTGGACTAGCTTAAGGATAAATATGTAGCGTGTTGATTACAGCGGTTATTACTATTTTTTTAGTGCCATTGTAACTGGAGCCATTGTTCTTATTTGAAGTTCATTTCTTTTTTGTCTTTTGAGATGGAGTCTTGCTCTGTCACCTAGGCTGGAGTGCAGTGGTGCAATCTCGGCTCACTGCAGCCTCCGCCTCCCTGGTTCAAGCAATACTTCTGCCTCAGTCTCCCCAGTAGCTGGGATTACAGGCGCCTGGCACCACACCCGGCTAATTTCTGTATTTTTAGTAGAGATGGGGCTTCACCATGCTGGCCAGGCTGGTTTCGAACTCCTGACCTCAAGTGATCCACCCACTGGGATTACAGGCGTGAGCCACCGTGCCTGGACAAAGTTTATTTGTTTAGTTTATGACTGCTATATCCTGACTCTCATCTTATTAAAACTACAATATTTTAAAATGCTGCATCTTATGTCTTTATGATTGAGAATGAAATGAGAATCTATTTAGTAGTCTTGAGATTGTGAAAGGAGCTATGACATCATGGTGTAGGAGGCTGCGTAGATTTGAAATTTCATCTCTTCCACTTACTATCTGTGCACCCTTGGGCAAGTTATTTAACCTTTTTGTGCTTTTAGTTTTCTTCACTGTAAAAGTGGAATAATACCTATTTCCCTAGGGCTGTTAGGAAGATTAGAGTTAGAAGTGTTGCTGTTAATTTTTCTACTGAAGATAGGTATTCACAATTTCAAATATTCGTTACAGTAAGGGTGATAAAGAACTGATGAGAAATACTAGGTGATAGCAGATAGAGAAAGCAAATGGAGGAAAGAAGCCTGTTTTCTCAGTAAATAGCCCTTTGCTGTATTTCAGTGCTTTTCATACACTTCTATAATAAAGTGCCATTTCTTGCCTTAGGTGAAAAACCGTACAAATGTGAATTTTGTGAATATGCTGCAGCCCAGAAGACGTCTCTGAGGTATCACTTGGAGAGACATCACAAGGAGAAACAAGCCGATGTTGCTGCTGAAGCCAAGAACGACGGTAAAAATCAGGACACTGAAGATGCACTATTAACCGCTGACAGTGCGCAAACCAAAAATTTGAAAAGATTTTTTGATGGTGCCAAAGATGTTACAGGCAGTCCACCTGCAAAGCAGCTTAAGGAGATGCCTTCTGTTTTTCAGAATGTTCTGGCCAGCGCTGTCCTCTCACCAGCACACAAAGATACTCAGGATTTCCATAAAAATGCAGCTGATGACAGTGCTGATAAAGTGAATAAAATCCCTACCCCTGCTTACCTGGACCTGTTAAAAAAGAGATCAGCAGTTGAAACTCAGGCAAATAACCTCATCTGTAGAACCAAGGCGGATGTTACGCCTCCTCCGGACGGCAGTACCACCCATAACCTTGAAGTTAACCCCAAAGAGAAGCAAACGGAGACTGCAGCTGACTGCAGATACAGGCCTAGTGTGGATTGTCACGAAAAACCTTTAAATTTATCCCTGGGGGCTCTTCACAATTGCCCGGCAATTTCTTTGGGCAAAAGTTTAATTCCAAGCATCACCTGTCCATTTTGTACCTTCAAGACATTTTATCCAGAAGTTTTAATGATGCACCAGAGACTGGAGCATAAATACAATCCTGACGTTCATAAAAACTGTCGAAACAAGTCCTCACTTAGAAGTCGACGTACCGGGTGCCCGCCAGCGTTGCTGGGAAAAGATGTGCCTCCCCTCTCTAGTTTCTGTAAACCCAAGCCGAAGTCTGCTTTCCCAGCGCAGTCCAAATCCCTGCCATCTGCGAAGGGGAAGCAGAGCCCTCCTGGGCCAGGCAAGGCCCCTCTGACTTCAGGGATAGACTCTAGCACTTTAGCCCCAAGTAACCTGAAGTCCCACAGACCACAGCAGAATGTGGGGGTCCAAGGGGCCGCCACCAGACAACAGCAATCTGAGATGTTTCCTAAAACCAGTGTTTCCCCTGCACCGGATAAGACAAAAAGACCTGAGACAAAATTGAAACCTCTCCCAGTAGCTCCTTCTCAGCCCACCCTCGGCAGCAGTAACATCAATGGTTCCATCGACTACCCTCCCAAGAATGACAGCCCGTGGGCACCTCCAGGAAGAGACTATTTCTGTAATCGGAGTGCCAGCAACACTGCAGCAGAATTCGGTGAACCCCTTCCAAAAAGACTGAAGTCCACCGTGGTTGCCCTTGACGTTGACCAGCCTGGGGCCAATTACAGAAGAGGCTATGACCTTCCCAAGTACCATATGGTCAGAGGCATCACCTCACTGTTACCGCAGGACTGCGTGTATCCGTCGCCAGCGCTGCCTCCCAAACCGAGGTTCCTGAGCTCCAGCGAGGTCGATTCTCCAAATGTGCTGACGGTTCAGAAGCCCTACGGTGGCTCCGGGCCGCTTTACACTTGTGTGCCTGCTAGTAGTCCAGCATCCAGCTCGACGTTAGAAGGTATTGCGTGAGGGGTGTCGTGTTTAAATGGCACTGATGCCTACGGTGACTAACAGCTAATCCATGCATTCTCAATGGAGATGGTACCACTCCCAAGGGTTGGGGGTGGGCAGCACAGAGTTCTTGGGGGTCACGGAGAGAAGCATTCTTAGATACGGCAGTGGTTTGTGGTCCTCCAAAGCTTACTTTGTGGGTGTAACTCTCACCCTGAATATTTTATTCTTTTTATTTGTTTAGTCTTATTTTATTTTTTAGAGAAAGGGTCTTGCTCCGTCATCCAGGTTGGAGTGCAGTGGTGTAATCATAGCTTACTGTAGTCCGGAATTCCTGGATTCAAGAGATCCTCCTGCCTCAGCTTCCCAAGTAGCTGAGACTGTGCTGCTACCATGCACAGCTGATTGTTAAATTTTTCTTGTAGAGATGGAGTTGCCCAGGCTGGTCTTGAACTCCTGGCCTCAGGTGATCCTCCCGTGTTGGCCTTCCAAGTATCTGAGACGCTAGATGTACTCCACCACGCTTGGCTAACTTAAATTTATTTTTTTGTGAGACAGGGATTTGCTTTGTTGCCCAGGCTGGTCTGAAACCACTGGCCTCAAGTGATCCTCCTGCCTCAGCCTCCCAGAATGCCAGGATTACAGGCATGAGCCACCATACCCAGCCTTATTCTTGAGTAATTTTTCTTGTTCATTTTATTTTTCTGTTGTGGGAGTGATCATGGAAACAGCGGGTGAGAACACTGGTCTATCTAGTCCATTCTTGTCTTGCTGTTGAAATTCCAGATGCAGCCAATTTAGGCCCCAGCTTGCCTCACTTCATCGCAGCCCTTTTTCTTCCTTTGCACATTTATGGCGTGCTCAGTAGTCACTGCCAGTCCACCTGGAGTTGTGGGTTTTTTTTGTTTTGTTTCCTTTTTTTTTTTTTAAGACGGAGTCTCGCTCTGCCGCCCAGGCTGGAGTGCAGTGGCCAGATCTCGGCTCACTGCAAGCTCCACCTCCCGGGTTCACGCCATTCTCCTGCCTCAGCCTCCCGAGTAGCTGGGACTACAGGCGCCCGCCACCTCGCCCGGCTAGTTTTTTTGCATTTTTTAGTAGAGACGGGGTTTTACCGTGTCAGCCAGGATGGTCTCGATCTCCTGACCTCATGATCCGCCCGTCTCGGCCTCCCAAAGTGTTGGGATTACAGGCTTGAGCCACCGCGCCCGGCCCCCTGTTTTGTTTTCTTGAGACAAGTTTCGCTCTTGTTGCCCAGGCTGGAGTGCAGTGGTGCGATCTCGGTTCGCTGCAACCTCCTCCTCCAGGGTTCAAGCGATTCTCCAGCCTCAGTCTCCTGAATAGCTGGGATTATAGGTACGTGCCACCATGCCCAGCTGATTCTTCTATTTTTAGTAGAGACAGAGTTTCAGCGTGTGGGCCAGGCTGGTCTTGAACTCCTGACCTCAGGCGATGTGCTGGCCTCGGCCTCCCAAAGTACTGGGATTACAGGTGTGAGCCACCACGCCCAGCCTGGGAGTTCTTCCTCAGGTATTTTACCACTCCCTGCTGGCCTGTAAACTTCTTAAGAGCATAAACCACGTTTTATACGTACACGTCAAGTCACGTGCTTCCCACACAGGGCAGAATTGGGGGGCGGGGGGATGCCCAGTAAGGACTACATGAGGACCTTTGACCTGGCAAGAGCAGAAAGCATAAGAAGTTCCAGTTAAATGGTCTTGTGAACCGTTATGCTGTTAAATGTTGTCAGCCCTCCATATCCTTGGATTGTGCCTCAGTGGATTCAACCAACTGCGGGACTGAAATATTGGAGGGGAAAATGGGATGGTTGCATCTGTACTGAACATCTGCGGATTTCCTTCTTTTGTCCACATTACCTAGATAATACAGTGTAACAACTATTTACATAACATTTACTTCGTATTAGGTGTTGTAAATAATGAAGGAGATGATTTTTTTCTTTTTTTTTTGAGATGGAGTCTCGCTCTGTTGCCCAGGCTGGAGTGCAGTAGCGTGATCTCAGTTCACTGCAGCCTCCACCTCCCGGGTCCAAGCAGTTCTCCGGCCTCGGCCTCCCAAGTAGTTTGGATACAAGCACCCGCCACCACGCCAGACTAAGTTTTGTATTTTTAGTAGAGATGGCATTTCGCCATGTTGGTTAGGCTGGTCTCGAACTCCTGACCTTAGGTGATCCACCCGTCTCACCTTCACAAAGTGCTGGGATTACAGGTATGAGCCACCATGCCCGGCAATGTAGAGATGATTTAAAGTATATGGGAGGGGCTGGATGTGGTGGCTCACATCTGTAATCCCAGCACTTTGGGAGGCTGAGGTGGGCAGCTCTATTGAGGCCAGGAATCTGAGACCAGCCTGGCCAACATTGGCGAAAACCCGTCTCTACTAAAAATACAAAAATTGGCTGGGTGTGGTGGTGGGCATCTGTAATCTGAACTGTTTGGGAGGCTTAGGCATGAGAGTTGCTTGGAACCGGGGATGCAGAGGTTGCAGTGAGTAAGTGTAGATTGTGTCACTGCACTCCAGCGTGGGCTAAAGAGCGAGACTGTGTCTCAAAAAAAAAAAAAGGTACATGCGAGGATGTGCATAGGTTACACTACGAATACTACAAATTAATAGTACTACAAGGCCGGGTGTGGTGGCTCACGCCTGTAATCCCAGGACTTTGGGAACCAGCCTGACCAACATGGAGAGACCTCATCTCTGCTAAAAATACAAAATTAGATGGGTGTGGTGGCACATACCTGGAATCCCAGCTACTCGGGAGGCTGAGGCAGGAGAATCACTTGAAACCCAGGAGGCGGAGGTTGCGGTGAGCTGAGATTGTGCCATTGCACTCCAGCCTGGGGGACAGAGCGAGGCTGCATCTCAAAAAAAAAAAAAAATTGTACTATAAATACTATGAATACTGCAAATATGACACTTTTATATTCGGGACCTGAGTGAGCATCCATAGATTTTGGTATCTGTTGGCGGTGCGGCAGGGGCGGTGGGGGGGGTGGGGGGTGGTCCTGGAGCCAGTACCCTTCGGATACTTAGAGACAACTGTATAAATTTAAAACCAGCCTTATTTCCCCTGTAGGTAAATTGTTGACCTCGTAGATGACTGGGGTTTCCCCCATGGAAACGTGTCGTGGTGGTGTCACTTCGTACAGGTGTCTGGCACATACCTGTATGTGTAAAAAAGGAGCTCAGTGTCCCAGGGACATCTTCCCCTTGGCAAACTTGATCAAACCACAGTGCCTTCCTTTATCAGATAGAGGCTCTACTGGTTTGTGCTCCCCAAGGAGACAGCTGGTTTTACACATTTCAGTTCGTGTTAGTTTCAAACTGAGGCTTCTGTGTGGTGACAACACTCTATCAAGATTTGCTTGATGCTGATTGGTTCGGTAGAGATAGCAAATTAAAAAACAATTGCTTTCACACACTTCAGTAGATTTTATAAAAATTGTGATGAAATAGTAATTTTTACTGCCTTTTGGTTATAAAGGTTCATTTTCCCCCCATGGTGCTTAAAATGGACGGGAATCAAAACTTTGTCCTAAAGGGGGAAAAGGCTCTGTGTGTTGCAAGTCAGATCCTCCTTTTTTTTCTCCCCCCACCCCCTCTTTGAGACAGGGTCACACTCTGTTGCCCAGGTTGGAGTGCAGTGGTGCAATCATAGCTCCCTGCAGCCTTGACCTCTGGGGCTCAAGCAATCCTTCCGTCCTTCCGTCTCAGCCTCCTGAGTAGCTGGGACTAAAGGTGCATGCCACCATACCGAGCTACATTTTTATTTTTAGTAGAAAAGAGGTCTCACCATGTTGCCCAGGCTGACAAATCCCCTTTTAAATGATTAAAAAAAAAACAACAAAGCAACACTTAAATAGTTTGGTTCATGATGCATATAGGTTTCAAGTATTTTGTGATATAATTTTTTTCTGGCTTTTTAATTCTTTCTAGTGACAGGCAGTTTTAGTGACATCAGCCACATTTGTGCTAACAAGTGTCATAAACACAATTCAGCTGTAACTGAAAACGCGCATGCCACTGTGTGACTTATGTGTTGTGATTACATTATCAGTGTCAGGAATTTTGAAAAGTGACTTCTAACAACCTATACACATGTTACCTAATTGTTTGACCTTAACTCTAAATAGTTTTTTTTTTTTTTTTCCCCAATCAGGAAAAAGGCCTGTGTCATATCAACACTTATCTAACAGCATGGTACAAAAGAGAAACTATGAGAATTTTATTGGGAATGCACATTATCGACCAAATGACAAAAAAACTTGATTCACTAATTTGGGGGAAAAAAGGTGAGCATACGTTTCAATTAAAAACACTGAATTGGCTGAGCGCGGTGGCCATTTGGGAGGTCAGGGCAGGCAGATCACCTGAGGTCAAGCATTTGAGACCAGCTTGGCCAACATGCTGAAACCCCTGTCTGTACTAAAAATACACAAATTTAGCCGGGTGTGGTGGCGGGTGCCTGTAGTCCCAGCTACTCAGAAAGCTGAGGCAGGAGAATCACTCCAACAACCCAGGAGGCGGAGGTTCTAGATTGCAGATTGTGCCACTGCGGTCTATCCTGGGTGACAGAGCAAGACTCCGTCTTAAAAAAAAAGAGGGGGGTGGGGATTGAGTTTACTTGATTGGAAATAAAGTTAACTTGTCTAATATAAGGTAACAAAATTGTTTTTAAGTTTGATTTTGGTTTTTTTTAGGTGTTTAAAATTAGAGTCCTCAGGATCTTTGGATATTAGTGAAAATAATGGGAAAAACAGTCATGGTGACTGGAATTTACTGAGCATTTACTTTGTGCTAGGCATTGAATGAAGTGTTTTATAATCAAGATTTCATTTAATTCTGTTGCAGCAGAGGGCTTAGGTAAGGGATGAGTAAACTAGCTTTTCACCCATCGTCATCGATAAAGTTTTATTGGAACATGACCATGCCCATCTGTTAACATACGGTCTGTAGCTACCTCCTTGCTGCAGCAGCAGTCGGGCAGCTGTGACAGACCATGTGGCCTGCAAAGCTGAAACTATTTACCATCTGGCCCTTTACAGAAAAAGTTGGTGACCTAGCATTAGGAGGTATTGTGCATGCTTTTCAGATGAGACCAAGGCGTGGATTATGCAGTTTGCTCAAAGCCTCCCTCTTGCCTGTGAGAGGCAGGAGCCTGGTTTTTGTCCTAGGTCTGCAAAGATCCAGGTTCTGTGCCCAGTGTTCTAGGTTAAGAGCTTGTTCAAAGACTTGGCAAGTCCTTATCTGTTGGAGGAGAACTGGGACAGGAGCAAGTATATGTGAGCATGCGGTTCACATGTTAACGGTCTGATGGTAGTGCACTCCCGTCCCATAAGGCTCAAGTAGTAGTATCAGAATTACATGTGTTGTTTTGTTAGTTTATATTTAGTTAATTAGCTTGGGCAGAAGGTGTGATGTCTGTGTACAGGTTATACTGTGACTCATTCAACAATAAGATTAAATGGACAGCTTGGGGCTCACGGGCAGATTTAGTTGTTTCTCAGATAACTCTTGTCCCGTAAAACCATCACTGTATATTCATTGAGCAGCCTCTTTACCGAGTGCCTGCTGGCTGCTAGGATACAAAGATGAAAGGATGCTCGTGGTCCAGGATGGAATTTCTGTCATATTTTCACTGGGACTCACATGGGAACCGAGATGATGTTCTCTCTGGGCAACATGAGCCTTATACAGTTCTGCAGCCTTTTCTCCTACTTAGGATAATAGCTGAAGAACACGAGGGAGTAAAGCTTTGTCATCACAGAATTAAGATTCAGTCCACTCTATATTAAAACATAAAAATAACTTATGAATTATAAGGAGCAGATTTTAGTAGCAGGTTACTTGCAACATCCATTACAACTGATAAGTAGTAGCAAACGGCCATGCTTCTTTATCTGGAGCTGGTGTCTCACTAGGAGCTCTGAGCTTCTCTGCTTCTGTTTCCTTCATCTGGAGAACTACCTGCCTGCACTGTCTTTGCTTTTCAACCTCTTCTTTCTGATCCTAAGGACCAGCTCACATACTGGTTTTGTTTGTTTGAGACAGGGTCTGGAGTGCGGTGGTGCGATCTTGGCTCACTGCAGCCTCAAACTCCTGGGCTCAAGCAGTCCTTCCACCACAGCCTCCTGAGTAGCTGGGATTTTCTTGTGCATGGCAATTGCCTTTTACTCAATTCTGATTCTTGGTTAAGTCATCTCAGTTAAATTACTAAAAGTAGCTCCAAAGTTTGCAGCATTATCTAATTAGTTATTCTCCTGATACTTTCATGGCAAAAGTTGAACTTAAATAGAACCCAGGGTCGGGCGCAGTGGTTCATGCCTGTAATCCCAGCACTTTGGGAGGCCGAGGTGGGCGGATCACTTGAAGTCAGGAGTTCAAGACCAGCCTGGCCAACATGGTGAAACCTGTCTCTACTAAAAATACAAAAAAATTAGCTGGGTGTGGTGGCGCATGCCTGTAGTCCCAGCTGTTTTGGAGGCTGAGGCAGGAGAATTGCTTGAACCTGGGAGGTGGAGGTTGCAGTGAGCCAAGATTGTGCCGCTGCACTCCAGCCTGGTTGACAGAGCGAGACTCCATCTCAAAAACAAACAGAACCCATTGCATTTCTAAGTCAATTTGTTTCTATTTATTATACTCTTTTAAAGAAATAATTTTCTAAACTGTATTCATTTTTGATCTTAATCATTAAAAAAATTTTTTTCCTTAGGTCTTGGTGGATGTCAGTGCTTACTCTCCATGAAATTAAATTTTACTTCATCCTTTGAGAAGCGAATGGTGAAAGCTACTGAAATAAGCTGTGATTGTACTGTACATAAAACATAAGGAATCTGCAAGGAACACTACAGTTTTGTAAAGTTGTTCTGTTAACTTTTGTACCAAATAGCAATAAAAACTAGTTGGAACAGTTGGAACCTACATACATGGGGACTGGAAATCTCTATTTTGTCCCTGAATAATATTTTTTTTAGAATCGACCAAATAAGAAGTGGAATTTTTGCATACTTGAGCGCTGCTGAAAAGAAATCATTTGGGTGGGGTGGGGTGGGATGGGGGAAAAGTATATAATGCTTGCACCTCAGGTAAAAATCTGTAAATATCTTAAGTTGTAAACCTGCTTGTTCAAATACTGTGTGTATTCCTTTTCTCTAATACAGCTCATCACTTGGAGCAGTTTCTGCTATTGTGCTCTTTCATTTAAAATGTATGTTTTTTTTTAAACTGCCAATGATTTTGTATTATGTTGAATCCTCCGAAATCTATTGTTGTCTTAAAATTGTTAATGGAAGTATTGACCCTCTATGATACGTGCTGCAGATATTGAGTCAGCCATTTGGAAGTTGGCAGCATTTTATTGCAACTTTCAGCATCTCAGCTGGGGAAGACACCTTCTTCCTCGCCTCTCCGATTGTCCTGGAACCTCCAGAATCCTTGACTGAGGGGCATGGGATGGCTCGTAGGATTTTTAAGAGTGTGTGTCTACAGAGAAGCGTTTTCCCTGTAGAACAGCCACACATTGTGTAAACATAAACTGTATGTGCAGTTATTTATATTTGTTTCTATCAAATTAATCACTTTTGTTGGAAGATTCATTGGGGGGGGCCTAAATTAGTATATAAAAACAAAAATGGTAAATTATACCTGTGAATTGCATATATTGGGGAACAGTTTTAAGGGAAATTTTTGGGGAAACATTTTAGGTTTGCATTTGGTAGTCTTAATGTATCTGGCATTTGGGTGAACTGTGGACATACTAGAGTTGATTATAGACACATTGATTCTGAATAAGGAACTGCTGGCCGAGCCTCCTGGGAGTCTAGAAAGAGGAAATCTGTTTCTAGACCTCAGTTATCTTCCCATTTTTGGTTGTTATGAAGCAGTAGCATTTTTCTCAGTGCACATGCAATTTGGGTTTTAGAGAAGATGGCCACCAGCTGGCTTCCTAGATATTTTAAACTTTTGTTCTTTAATGTGCTGTCCATGGCTGAGTTTATTAGTACATGGGCGTAGTGACCACAAAATATTTTATTAAGAAACTTTTTCAAAAATAAATTTGCACTGTTCATTTTTCTGGCCTCGCTGTTCTCCATAGAGCAAGGGTAAAGTCCTAGAAGATTTTTTTTTTCTTTTTAAATTATGCAACGTAAGATGTCCTCCTTGATAGAAGTCTTAGCTCCTGTGTTACAAGGGAGAAGTAATTTGAGATCAGTCTGCTGGCATTGCAATGAAGTGCTTTGTATCAGGAAAGTGTACACTATTGACCTTTTTTCCTGTTCACAAGCTGAGCCATATGTACATAATCTAGATTTTTGTTTTCATAGTTTTGCACTTTTATAGCCTATTTTTGAAGATTAACACATTTGCAAGATGATTGACTCAATCTTTGCCTAATCCAATGAGTGTTACAGAGAGCTTGAACTAGAACCATAATTCTTAAAAGGGGGTATGTGGTAATAGAGGGCTGGAATTTAAACCTGTATTTAAAAAAAAGAATCACCAAATCTATTTGAAAACAAGTCAATTTGTGTTATGCTGGAATTTTTTGGGCTTTCAGATTTCTCTTTTTAACCACATTTCTGAATGTATGAAAATACCAATTATTTTCCTACAGCCCTTTGTACTTCAAAATATGTTTTTGTGTCCATCAGTATTAACTATTGGTATACTACTGGTTTTATATGTTTTTTTTTCTTTGAGACAACAGTACATATAATAGAGGTACAATTCGTTGGATTTTGTTTATGTATTTATTTCATTCCAGTTTGATTTATTTTAATTGTTGATACTTAAGTTGTCAAACAGTAGACATTACTTGTTTTATTTATGATATATTTCAGCTTAAAGTTATGTTATTATATGTGGAAGTGTAAATATAGATTTGGTGTTTTGCAATCTTGAGTTTTAGTGTTTATTGTGTTTCTGGTTTCTCATTTTGCTTTATTTAACTTTTTAGTCTTCTTTCTTTCTTTTTTCTTTCTTTCTTTCTTTTTTTTTTTTGACATATGCTCTCACTCTTTCACCCAGGCTGGAGTGCAGTGGTGCAATCACGGCTCACTGCAGCCTTGAACCCCTGGGCTCAACTGATCCTGCAGCTCTCAGCCTCCCGAGTATCAAGCCATCATGCCTGGCTTATAAACACAATCTTAAGGCAGCGCGTGACTTAGCCTGTAATCCCAGCACTTCGGAAGGCCAAGGCAGGTGGATCGCTTGAAACCAAGAGTTTGAGACCAGCCTGGCCAACATGGTGAAACCCCATCTCTACTAAAAATACAAAAATTAGCTGGGTGTGGTGGTAAACACCTGTGGTCCTAGTTAAGAGGCTAAAGCATGAGAAATTGCTTGAACCTGGGAGGCAAAAGGTTGCAGTGAGCTGAAATTGTGCCATGTCACTCCAAGCCTGGGCGACAAGAGCGAGACTCCGTCTCAAAAAAAAAAACACTTTTTTTTTTGGAGATAGGGTCTTCGTTGCCCAGGCTGGAGTGCACTGGCACGATCTCACCTTGCTGCCACCTCTGCCTCCTGGATTCAAGAGATCTGGGCGGGCGCTGTGGCTCAAGCCTGTAATCCCAGCACTTTGGGAGGCGAGACGGCGGATCATGAGGTCAGGAGATCGAGACCATCCTGGCTAACCCGGTGAAACCCCGTCTCTACTAAAAAATACAAAAACTAGCCGGGCGAGCGGCGGGCGCCTGTAGTCCCAGCTACTCGGGAGCTGAGGCAAGAGAATGGCCTAAACCCGGGAGGCGGAGCTTGCCAGTGAGCTGAGATCTGGCCACTGCACTCCCGCCTGGGCGACAGAGTCAGACTCCGTCTCAAAAAAAAAAAAAAAAGATTCTGCCTCAGCTTCCAAAGTAGCTGGGATTACAGCCATGCGCCATCACGCTCCGCTAATTTTTGTATTTTTAGTAGAGATGGGTTTTGCCATGTTGGTCAGGCTGGCCTTGAACTCCTGACCTCAAGTGATCTGCCCACTTCAGCCTCCCAAAGCACTGGGATTACAGGCGTGAGCCACCGCGCCTGCCCAAGCTCACAAGTCTTTATACACTTGATACGTTGAGAGCATGTGGTCATCATTTTGATGCCTCGAGTCTCTCATTTTTGATCAGTGGGAGTTTCAAGTTGGCCCAATGTTTGCAGGACAACAGCCTGAATCAGGCTGCTTAACTTTTTGTTATCTGTAATCCCAGCTCTTTGGGAGGCTGAGGTGGGCCGATCACCTGAGGTCATGTGTTTCAGACCAGCCTGGCCAACATGGTGAAACCCCATCTCTACTAAAATACAAAAATTAACCGGGTGTGGTGGCTGGCGCCTGTAATCCCAGCTACTAGGGAGGCTGAGACAGGACAGTTGCTTGAACCCAGGAGGCAGAGGTTGCAGTGAGCCGAGACTGCACCACTGCACTCCAGCCTGAGCGACAGAGCGAGACTCAGTCTCTAAAAACAGACAAGAAGAACCCCCAAAACAAAACCCAAGATGTTCCAAATCCCACCTGTACTGACCCACACCTGGGAACTGTCGTTTATCCGAGGATCCCGGATTCTTTTTATGGGAAGCGGTGGTCGGGGTGGTTTGGGTGCAAGGGGTGCTTAGTCCTACCTGGGTGGTTGTGCTCCTGGCCTTTTTAATGTAGGGAAAAGAAATATGATCAAAAAGGAAACCTCCGTGAATTATACTGCCATTTTGTTTTAGAGTTTTGTTTTTTGATTTTCTGAAAAGCTGGGTTACCTGGCTTTAACCTGTATATAACAATGTCAATGTTATTACTCATATCACTGCCCAGTGAACTTTTCAGATTTTTTTTTGAGACAGTCTCACTGTGTCTCCGAGGCTGGAGTGCAGTGACAAGCTCCACCTCCCGGGTTCACACCATTCTCCTGCTTCAGCCTCCTGAGTAACTGGAACTACAGGTGCCCGCCACCACACCTGGATAATTTTTTGTATTTTTAGTAGAGATGGGGTTTCACCGTGTTAGCCAGGACCGTCTCGATCTCTTGAACTTGTGATTCACCTGCCTTGGCCTCCCAAAGTGCTGAAATTACAGGCGTGAGCCACCGTACCCGGCCTCAGATTTCTTTTTATAGTTCTGTTTGCCTATAGTTTTCAAGTTGTCCCTGACTGGCAAAATCATTGAGAAATTGTTGGAAATGCAAATTACTAGGTTTGCCCTAGACATGCTCCATCAGGAACTTGGCAAGTGGGGCCCAGCAGTCAAGCCCTCCAGTGGACACTGGTCTCTACTGGGCAGATTCCACTCAAGGAATACCGAGTGGGCATCACCGAGCCTGCTGAAACTGTGTGGCTATGCCAACCCCTTCACACGCAGAATCATCAATCATTTTCCATCTTTAGACACTGCTGTGCTCTTTTTCATGTTTTGTTATGCAAAACATTTACATAGTATCAAAGTCAAAATTAGAAAACCAGGTATATTCAGAGAGCTCTAGCTTTTCATCCTTTCACCCTGTTCTTTTTCAACTTTTTTTTTTTTTTGAGACGGTGTCTCGCTCTGTCGCCCAGGCTGGAGTGCAGTGGCGCGATCTCGGCTCACTGCAAGCTCCGCCTCCCGGGTTCACGCCATTCTCCTGCCTCAGCCTCCGAGTAGCTGGGACTACAGGCGCCCGCCACCACGCCCAGCTAATTTTTTGTATTTTTAGTAGAGACGGGGTTTCACTGTGTTCGACAGGATGGTCTCCGTCTCTTGACCTCATGATCCCTCGGCCTCCCAAAGTGCTGGGATTACAGGCGTGAGCTACCGCGCCCAGCCTAAAGTAACCATTTTTAAAAATTATCATTTTTTTTTTTTTTTCTGAGAACGAGTCTTGCTCTGTAGCCCAGGCTGGAGTGCAGTAGCACGATATCGGCTTACTGCAACTTCCCCTTCCCGTGCTCAAGCAATTCTCCCGCCTCAGCCTCCCGAGTAGCTGAGATTGTAGGCACATGCCACCAAGCCCGGCTAAGTTTTGTGTTTTTAGTAGAGACAGGGTTTCACCATATTGGTCAGGCTGGTCTTGAACTCCTGAGCTTAGGTGATCCACCTGCCTCAGCCTCCCAAAGTGCTAGGATTACAGGCGTGAGCCACTGTGCCCAGCCTAAAAATTAGTTTTTGATTTATCTTTCCATTATTTCTTTTTGAAAATACAGGCATATTTGCAGGTCTATTTATATCTCCCTTTCTTATATAAAAAAGAGTTTACAGTCCACACTAGCACAGGCTGATTTTAGCACTGTTTCATTGTTTTCCTGGAGAATGAACCAGCACACACACCACACACACACACACCACACACACACACAGACACACACACAGACACACACACACAGACACACACAGATACACACACAGACACACACACACACACACACACAGACACACACACAGACACACACACAGACACACACACAGAGTCAGGAAAAGTCAAATGCTGAAAAAATTCTGGTTTAAAAAAGAACACGGTTTTCTGCTGAACATCAAATGACTCGAAGGAATCTACTTTGGAGAGGTTGAAGTTGGTGGTCTTTCCTCCACCTGCTTTTATTTCTCAGTACATCCTTATTGAGCTTTCACTAAGTACCAGGCACTCGAGGCTAGTACTGGTTGGGTGCCAGGGACATGTGTCTCATGAACCAGGTAGCGTTTCCTACCCTCCTGGGGCTGTCTTTGTGGGGTTGCTGGGGGTGGAAGATATATTGAAAACAGGTCATCATGGCTGGGTGCGGTGGCTCATGCCTGTAATCCCAGCACTTTGGGAGACCCAGGCGGGTGGATCACTTGAGGTCAGGAGTTCCAAACCAGCCTGGCCAACATGGCAAAACCCTATCTCTACTAAAACTACAAAAATTAGTCGGGTGTTGTGGTGGGCGCCTGTAATCCCAGCTACTTGGGAGGCTGAGACACAAGAATTGCTTGAACCTGGTGGGAGGAGGTTGCAGAGTGCCACTGCACTCCAGCCTGGGTGACACAGCAAGACTCTCAAAAGAAAAGAAAAGTGGGAGGGGCGGGGAGGGGAGGGGAGTTCAACAGACCAGTTACGGCCCTGCTGTAGTGGCTGGGGAGGAAATCAGCAGGAGACTAAGAATAATTAGGAGAACCCATGAGAGCTGGGTGGTCAGGACAGGTCCTAACAGGTCCTAGAGGATGAAAGGAGGTGGCCATGTAATTAATGCCTTAGTAAAGGATCTTGGCCGGGCGCGGTGACTCACGCCTGTAATCCCAGCACTTTGGGAGCCTGAGGCGGGACGATCACGAGGTCAGGAGATCGAGACTACGGTGAAACCCCGTCTCTACTAAAAATACAAAAAAATTTTTAGTCCCAGCTACGCGGGAGGCTGAGGCAGGAGAATGGCGTGAACCTGGGAGGCGGAGCTTGCAGTGAGCCGAGATCGCGCCACTGCACTCCAGCCTGGGCGACAGAGCGAGACTCCATCTCAAAAAAGAAAAAAAAAAATCTTTTTGTTTGTTTTTCCATTCATTATTTGTTTTTGTTGTTGTTGTTTGTTTTTGAGACGGTGTCTCACTCTGTTGCCCAGGCTGGAGTACAGTGTTGCTATCTCGGCTCACTGCAGCCTCCACTTCCCGGGTTCAAGCAATTGTCCTTTTTTTTATTTTTGAGACAGTGTCTCATTCTGTCACCTAGGCTGGGGAGGTCATGGCTCACTGCAGCCTCGACCTTCTGGGCTCAAGTGATCCTTCTGCCTTGGCCTCCCAAAGTGCTGAGATTACAGGTGCGAGCCACTGTGCCCAGCCTAGGGCACCCTTTAAGAAAGCACAGGGCTTGACTCAGGTCAGAAAGAGCTGCATGGATTTGAAGACCTGAATGGAGACCAGCGTGGCTACAGAGCAGAGGTCTTAACCTTGGTATTATTAACATTTTGGGACCAGATAATTCTTTGTG